TATAGCCACCTGCGAGTGACACCAGATCTTATAAACACGGATGCTCTAGTGTGTGTCATTACACAGCCTTGTCATCTCAATCGCATACACCGTCACGGGATGGAAACGTTTGCAGTTGACAAATGGGTTGGTTTATTATTAATTGACGGGCATAGCATCTACCATTTAATGTTCCTTCATGTCAATCTGCGCCGAGATTGGGTTCTGCAAAGCCAGTGTCTTGATGTCCTCCCACTTTTGTAGACGTTCCTTCTCCATCTCCTCCTCCCTGAGTCATCAAGTAGTTGTTTGGTGAGCGGGACAAATCTCGCAGATAGTAATGGTATGCGTACGCCATGAACAATCCTACATAGGCTCACTATGTTCTGCGCGTTGTATATTCAATCACCTTTGACTAAAGTAGAAGGCGTGCGCGCATTTCTACGAGTGCATTTGCTCACCACGTCAAACCAGAACGTACGTATAGAAAAAAATGACAACTCACATGTACATAATACACAAACTAAGTACCTCTGTAGCATCCAAGATACTTTTTATAGCAACAAAGTTGTGTTGTCAATACTCGTAGTTGCTCTGAAACTCGTACTGTACGTCAATCACCCGTACGTGGTACAAATACAGAATGGGATAGTTGTACTCATACACTACGACACATTAATTCAACGTAATGTATAGAGACTAAAACATCAACAGCCCCACGTACAAACACGCCGTCGGAGCATACGCGCAGAAACAGAAAAGTACAATGCTATGGTTAATCGGGGAATCGCTTCGGCGAACGCATATATGGGAACTAAGAATTAAGTATGGTCTCTAACGGGTGAAGCACTTCATTGATACATCAACGGTCAAGGTTCCCTTAAGTGCTCATAGCGTATTCCTAGCACACCAGACGATAATAGTCCACAATATACTACAGCGACATGGGTGATAGGAAAGGCAGACGATAATAGTCACACAATATACTACAGCGACATGGGTGATAGGAAAGGCAGACGATAATAGTCACACAATATACTACAGCGACATGGGTGATAGAAAAGGCAGACGATAATAGTCACACAATATACTACAGCGACATGAGTGATATAAAAGGCAGACAATAATAGTCGCACAATATACTACAGCGACATGGGTGATAAGAAAGGCAGACGATAATAGTCACGCAATATACTACAGCGACATGGGTGATAGGAAAGTGCTTGCGGTGCAGTTTGTGGTACAACACAAATACAGGAGATATGGCCAGGTTAGAGCATGCAGATGACTAAAGTGTGAAAAAATTTAGCACTTACATCTGCAGCTCTTGTTGGTACCGGGTCGTGCACTCTTCGAATAGAACCGGGTTGGTGTCCATGAATAGTTTAAGAGCGTTATACACCAAGCCGTGTATGGTCCTGGAAAGTAAGTGAAGAAGAGGCGAATCAGCGAAACAAAAATACCGAGTTTGCGGCTTGCGTCATGTCACCATGGCAGGACCTACACACTACTGCGAGTTGTAATAGTGCATCCCAAGAAGTCATTAACCAGATCACATGCCAAACTGTGAACAGTCCTGAGAATCTCAAATTGAGTCAGTGAGCCATAGCTGAGAATTAGTAGGGAGCAAGACCAAGGTAATATTTTGGTGACTTTTGCAGTGTTTAAACTCGAACTTACCTACAGCGGACCACACTACTTCATATACAACCGCACACGTGTTCACTACAAATCACTCTGTTAACGACTTTGCCGTCAGCAGTCCAGATCTGGCATGATATTCTCACTTGCATATGCAAAGCTAGATAGGAATTCATCATGCACAAAGGCATATGTATCATACCTATTCCAGTGAGATTTGGACGCCTTGTAGAGCGAAGAGAACATGATGGGCAGAATGACGTTTCCGTTCTCGCAGATTAGCGTCACGATATACTCGTTGTTCCAGTAGTACAATGCCCTTTCGGCAATCTGCAACAAACAACATCAGACGAATTCGATAGTGAGACCGGAAGTTCGGAATGTGAGAACGGCAGGACTATCCTGAAAATGGAGCATTATTTCACTAAACGATAGAATGAATTGTGATTAAACCATACACCTAACATCAGGCGGCTATGATAAAACCTTCAATATTAAAGACGAAACAGCATTTGTTCTGAAAGCACGCACGAGCAATGTAACGGTGGCACATAATGGAAGGGCTCTCGTACAGAGACACGTACATCAATGCACAAACGCAGCACTGACAAAGAACGGACCGCAAATGGACAAAGAGGACAAAGAACATAGGAGAACCAGATGCAAACACGACCAGGAGCATGGACCTCACGCGAACACAGAAACAATCAATAGACACCACCAAAGCTACAGCCACGAAGTACACGCCCACACGCCCACGCCCACGCACAGGCCCACGCATGGATACTCACACCCTAGTACACATATACACATACCTGGAAGTGAGGACTGGAGATGCACATGGCCATGCGAGTGAATAGAGGCACCTGAATGAGCTGGAACTCGGCGGGTTCAATAACATCGAGAATCTCTTCGATCTCATTGAGAAACATAACTTCCTTAGGGCTATTGGTTTTGGGCCAATACCGCAGGATACCCAATAATACTGGCTCGGTCAGCGTCGGGTCCTGTTTGAGCAAGCCAATGATTTAGATCCGTAGGAAGCACTTCGATATACAAAAAGGATGGATGAAAATGATGTATAGGTATATATGACCCGTTATTTGGAAAAACATGTGGTTCATGATTTAAAGTAAACGAAAAAGTTTTAGCGCATATAAAGCTCTCAGCCGTGTCGGAGAAGGTACATGGATCATTGTAATCACGACACACCTTGCCCCCAAAACTACAAGACACCAACAGTATAAAGACTCTCCGTCTAGTATAGCAACAATTCGAGCATTCGAGTCAAACCCGTAGCTACTACTGCGATACAGAACAAGTGGTCATAATAGTCATTTTGTCACGTGTGAATAGGAGCTTGCTTTCTGTCACATCCCCAAAAACTTGGTACTCTTTGTTGAATCAAATCCCATACCCATCCAACACTGGAACCTTAAGATACTGTGCAGCTGAGCGTAAAAAGTGCAACTACTCCTCTGTTTACACAACAACAGCAAACAAAAACAAAAACAAAAACAAATGTGACATACGTGCTATGCGCTTTAAGCAATATGCGTGAAACCATTACTAACCGTTTCTATCAACATACGAAACCGGAAACTTATCCCAGTCTAAGTTACGTAGCACATTTACCTACCTACACAAACTACAAACTAAGCAAATACATGCCACAGTAACCGAAGTCATCAAGTCGAACATTGGTCGCTTCTCCCCACCTTTTCCAGGAATTGTACGACACAATACGCCAGCTGTGGGTGGTACAGCGTCAGAGAGCGGACCTTGTGCAACGGCACTAACACAGTCAGCAGGAAGGTTTTATGCTCCTCTTTGAGGGGCGTCGCAAACCCGTTGATGATACTTCCAAGAATCTCCAGCAGCTCAGCAACTCCATTGTGCTGTTCTGTCTCGTAAATGAACTACGTATGGACGGAGATGTGTGTTAGATCGAGATGGAAAGCGATACGCGCGGTTTAATTAGGGGTGTTAGGTCTAGAGCGTAAGGCAGATCAATAAAATAGCACATTCGTGCAGTGCTATCACCGGGAATGAGCGTATAAACAGAAGAAATAAAGCTATACGTATGCATGTATTCATATATATATATATATATATATATATATATATATAATATATATATATATATATATAATAATAATAATAATAATATATATATATATATATATATATATATATATATATATATGTGTGTGTGTGTGTGTTGGTGCCATGCCCACATAAATACAAAGGAAAGGCATGAGATGGAAACCCAGACGCCACACAAGTCAGGGACAAGGCAGAAGCAGAAACAGAGACGAGCAGAAACAGAGATCCCAAGGCAGGACAACGAAGGCACTAAATGCATTGCAATACACTCAGTGACTCTGTGACTGTGCGACCTTAACGGCTGATGCACGCGTGGGTGGATGATCTACTATAGACACAATTCTCTATCGCGCATGCCACACTAAAAAAAATATATATATATATATACAAATAAATAAATAAATAAATAATAAATAGATAAATAAATATATATATATATATATAAATGTATATATATATAAATAAATAGATAAATAAATAAATGAATAAATAAGTAAATAAATAAATAAAATATATGGTGTGTGTGCGTGTTATGACTGCATTCGTGTAAATTACGCACCTGAAAGAATATGTTGGAGATAGATTTGCGTATGAATGCTCTGAGATTGAGGATTTTTCCATAGATTCTATGCAGGATGGTCTTGAGAAATTCTCTTTCTCTCGGATCCTCGGTGTTGAATAACTCCAACAGCTGTTAATAAGAATGCAGAGACGTTAGGAAGGGTGCAGAGTGAAAAAATAAAGGCTGCAAAGAACACAAGCGAGTTGTAGATTACTAGCCAGAAGAACCCGTTTTATATGTTTTGAAATGCGTGCACAGCCTACTATGTACACGTATCCCAGTACATAGATCTGTACATAAATGTGTGTATTGATTGGATACAGATATATACTTATGCATATCGGATAGGAGTAAACACACGCGTACACTTCCCATATCATTGCATGTATAGGGCAAGATTGAATTCGATCACTTTATAAACTTTGATGTACTTCATTGACACAGCAACTCATGAATTGTGTATATGCAGTTGGAATCCAAATTCAAGCGCACAATATGTCATCCATTGCAAATAAGTACTTATAGCGGGTAATGATCAATATTGGTATAAGCTTAAAACTGTATGCAAAAAAAAAGATGCCTACCGGAATGATGAAGGAGTGATCTATGAATTTCTTTCCGGTGTTGGGTGCGAAATCCTGCGACTCCAAAAAGCGAAGGAAAAACTCGTAGACCAACTGGAGGATGAAATGATATTTTTAAATTTAGTGACCGTATTGACCTGTTTATGCATGTCTTCGTAGACCAACTGGAGAATGAAGTGATATTTTTAAATTTAGTGACCGCATTGACCTGTTTATGCATGTCTTCGTAGACCAACTGGAGAATGAAGTGAC